GTGACTGTTTGGCTAAGTAAAAATTGAGGTCACGCTATGGTTATTTCAGCGTTATTTAAAGACCGTTATGATTACGGTTTTTTGTCCCTTATAAACAACTCTGTCTTTTCCCTTTGAGCCAATAATTGTCTTTTTAAAAACAATTTATGGCTCCCGAGGCGCAGCCGCTCCCGGGCGTGCTGCGACTCGTGGGGTCTGCTGCTTCCTGACATCTCGCGCTCCCGCCGCTGCCGACTCCGGTAGTGACAGATGAGGACGCTCGTCTTCACACCCTCCTGCCCTCCTTGAAAGCCACTCTGTCGGGAGAAAGAAATCGCAATACAGACAAAGCAGCCCAGGCCACTGGAAATCAGAGCCGTGGCGGGGACAGGGAGAGATCCAAGCAGGGCGGGGAGGGCGCGGGGGATGGCGGTGGGGTGCAGGGGCGGCCTGCTGGTGGGGTCCCACGGGCACTGCGCCTGGCCCAGGAAAGCGAATGCTGTGCAAATGGACACTGATGGCAGGGGCAGGTGAATGGGTCCTGCAGATGCGAAGACAGTGGGAGTATGTGAAGGAAGCACCTGTCCTCCCCCGCCTGGCTGAGGACTCAGGAGCGGGCACCGGGCCGGGCGGCACCCGCAGGAGAGCGGGAGGGGCTTGGGAAGCAGCCCCCGGTCATTTAGGGGGCCCTGGGAAGCCCCCCAGGCGGCACCCACCTGCATGGGGCCCCCGCAGCGCGCGAAGCCTGGAGACTGAGCTGTGGACGGACTCCCGGCCGGGGCCGCCGCACAGCCCCAGGGCTGCGAGAATGACCAGAGGCACGGCCCTCGGAAGGCTGGGCACACCGGCCGACTCCCGAGTGGACAGGACCATCCGCGATCTCCACAGGATGTGAACAAGATTCAGACTCACAGTGTCACATTGGAACACTCTCAAGTTCATCGATGCCCGCAGACCCAGGACAAGCCCAGCCCGCAGGGAGCAGACGTGTCGGGATTATCGAAGCCTGGATGCGGGTGTTACAGAAACGCTCCAGCCAGTGAGAACGGATGAGACCTTTGAAATAAATGGGAACCGGAACACCTCAGCAGAGAGATGGAGGATACAAAAAGGAAGCAGATGGAAGTTTTTGGACTAAAAGAGGAATGGAAAAGTTCAGTATTGGTTCATAGCAAAATGGAGACGACAGACGTGTCCGGGAGTGTGAGACAAACCAACAGAATTTATCTAACCCAAACTGCAGGGAGAAAGGGGCCGGAGGGCAGTGGACAGAGCCTCTGGATGCGGGCCACGGCTGCGTCATCAGAGCCCCAGCAGGGGAGGAGGAGGGGAGGAAGCGTACACGGCAGAGAGAACACTTGAAGAAGTGCTGAAGACTCCCCATATTGGGGACAGGCCTAAAATTGAATGAAGTCAACGAACCCCAGAGATAAACGCAAAGAACCCACACCTAGACACTCCTAATCAAACTGCTGGAGAGTGAAGGCAGGACGACTTGAGAGCATCGCAGGAAAACGATGCACTGCTTACAAAGAAAAGGGATCGCACGCTGGCTCCCCCACCCGACATCAGGGAGGCCTGTGGCCAGGGCCTAGCACCGCAAACTCAGCGGCAGAAAGGCCCCGGGCCCGGGGCCCTGCAGCCAGCGAAAACCCTGCAGGGATGAGGCGAAGGGGACATTCTCAGGTGAATGAAAAAGGAGAGAATGTACTGTCAGCGGAGGGCTGTCCAAGGCGGAATCTCTTCAGAAGGAGGAGAAGGGAAACCTGGTGTCTCCGGAATGAAGAAGGAGCAGCAGCGGCAATAAACATGAGTGGTCTCCACTTCTTGAGCCCCTTAAAATGTGTTTGATGGTTGAAGCAAAAAATCAGACTATCCTCTGTTAGGGTTTTCAAGCTGCTTAGATGTGATAGGTAAGACGACTGTCGTGTGAAGAGACCTATGTGGTGATAAGATTTCTACATTCCACCCAAAGCAATAAAAAATTGATTCTGAGTAGGCTGTGAAAAGTTAAATATTTACATTATAAACCCTAGAGCGATGACTAAAAATAATATACAAAGAGATAATGGGAAAAAAAAAACAATAGATAGATAACATGGAATAATTCAAAATAAGATAGGAAAGGAGGAAGCAGGCACCAAAACAGAATGAACAGATAATAAGCAGCAGTCCTGGATCCAGACAGCAATAATTACACAGAATGTGAATAGATCAAACACACCGATTTAAAGACAGATCGTCAGGTTGCTTTAAAAAAAAAAATCAAGGTCTTGCTATATGCTCTTTACCAGGAACTCATTTCAAATACAGTGACAGTGGTAAGTCAAACATTGAAAGACCGGAGAAACATTCCTTGCAAACACTAATTAAAAGCAGTGGCTGTGCTAACACCAGGCACAGTGGACTGTGGACAAAGGACATTTCTAGAAAGAAGGCTGTTAGAGGAAGGGGAGGCTCAACCTCCAGGCCAGTAGGTGGCGCTGACAGCAACTCAGTGGTAGCCGGTGGCGCTCCCCAGACTGCTCCCCCAGCGCTTTCCAGACTCCGTCCCGCTCTGCATGCTGATGGGAGAGAGAGGGGCAGGACCCCCTGGCTTTGGCCGCTCAGCCCCTGTGAGGAGGGGTGTCTGGAGAAGCTGTCATGTTGCCACGTGTGGCTTCTGCTGAGACCGTGGTCTCTGCTCCGGATGCTGCCTGGCATTGGACAGAGGGCGTGTGTCCCCATGCCAGCCTGTGACAATTCCCTCTCTCACCCTGCACAAATGAGCCCTGTTTCTTTTAGCCGTGAAGCACACTGCTGAGGGAGCAGCAGGGAGACAGGAGAGTCTGCTGCGGCCTAGGGCTCACTCCCTGGCCGGGGATGGGGCTCAGGCCATAGCAGTGACAGCCTGCGACTCAACCCCCAGGCCAATGGGGAGGCCCTAAACTATTCACTTAAAAATAAGCCACAAGTCAAAGAGGAAATAGAAGGTATTTTGAACCACACAGCAAGGAACATACAACATAGCAAAATTTTCGGATGTAGTGAAAGTGTGCTGACTTGGAAAACTGTAAATCAAGCGCTTACATTAGGACAAGAATATAAGCAAACAGAGGAATTCAGCAATAAAGACAGGAACAGAAACCAATGCAGTTGAAAACAGAAAAGTAGAAAAAAAAAAGAGAGAAGCAATGGAGCCAAAGACTGATTTTGGAAAATAAATTTCCTGCTAAATAAAATCGCCAAGCCTCTAGGAGGTCTGAAAAGGAGAAAAGAGGAAGAACGGGCGCTACGAACATCGGGGTACCAGGCTGTCACTGAGGCGGGGCCCCCGCTGCAGACCACGTGGGCCCCGGGACACCGAGAGGTCAGTCCCGTGCTCGGACGTTTGACGACGCAGACACGAGTCAGCCCGCCGTAACTGTCGGCTCACCCAAGGTGAAGCCGCTCAGCTCACAGCGCTGCCTGTGGTGGGGACCCAACTCACAATGGCCGAGCTCACCGTGCCCCGGGGCCTGCCCGAGCGTTCCGCCAAACGCCTGGGAGCTAACAGCAGTTTTGTGTGATCCGGGGAATGGAAGTGCCGGGAACTACCCCCCACTCGTGGGGCGAGCGCAGCACTACCCCGAAACCCAAACCAGAGGCGTCAGTCTGTGCACACGCTTCTCGTGGACGTGGGGGTCACATGCACAGCCAAACGCCAGCAGCTGGAGCAGAACTGGGGTCCAGGGGCGGCGAGAGGCTTCCCCAGAGACAGAGCGGGGAGCAGAACAGGCAGATTGACGAAGTACACGGCTGAGGGGAGCAGCGGGCGGTCAGGAGAGGGCTGCGTGCCCTGGGTGTCAGCTCCGGGGCAGGGATCGAGCTCGCACGGAAGCGGCTGCGGCCAGCTTGCAGCGCTGCGTCCCGACCCGCTGCGCCCACCAAGGCGGGCTGCATGAATAAATCTTAAGAAAAAAAGTAATTTCAGTCAAAATCACAGCCAGCTTTTGTTTTTTAGGACTAGACCAACGTGTTCTAAAGTTTATATGTAAAGACAGAGGGGTTAGAGCCATCCACTGTCCCACAGGAAGCAGGCGTGCGGTCGGGGCCTGGGGGTCAGTGGAGCGTCAGCTCAAGGGGCCGGGCTGGGGCCAGCACGCGCAGGCCGGGACGGGGCGGCGGTAGACGGGCCGGCCACTGCGGCTCGGTGTCCAGAGACAGCCGGCGCGGGCCCCGTGGCCCCACCCCAGCGGCCTGGAGATGCATTGGCCGGGCAGCTCTGTTTATGGCCACCCCAGCTCGAGAGGGCCCGCCTGCCGGCTGCCCTGGCTCAAAGCCAGCCCCCATGGTCACGGACCGCCTCATGGCGCTTACAAACGGCCTGGGGGGGCCAGCGCACTGGGAGGGGTTCAGGGCTGGGGCCGGGGTCAGGGCGCCTGGGCGGCAGCGTGGGGCCGTGCGGCTGGGGCCTGCAGCCAGGACGCAGGAAGCCACTTGTACGGGGCGGTGAACGAGCACGTCACCCCGGAGCAGCGCGACTTCCCCCGCGTGGGTTTCGTTCACGCCCCAGCAGGCGACTTCCTGCTCCGAAATTAGTTGATGACGCTGGACGGCACGAGCCCCGCCCTGGCCAGCGGCCGCTCGGCCTGGCTGCTCCGGCGGGACCCCCGGCAGGGGCCAACGCCGCTCTCGTTGTCCACCCAGGTGAGGCAGGTGGAGTCCGGCACGGTCCAGTTCCAGTACTCGCTGAACTCCGAAGGACTCCTGGACGCGGCCGACGGGCCGGTCAGCAGCCCCCAGCCCCAGCCGCGGCCCGGCAGGAAGCCACCTGCGTCCCCTTCGAGTAAGTGTTTTCGGGGTGCTGACTTTGCAAGCCGGCGGCGCGACTGCCATCTGCTCCTCAGAAAAACGCTTAGTCGGTGGAACAGCATTGATCAGACAGTTGCCACAGACTGCTTCTTTGCGTCTCCGGGTCGGGTCTTTGCTTGACGCCAAGGTGTAGAATCGGGCGCGTGCCTCAGGCAGCCCAGGGCTGTGGGCAGCCTGGCCGAGCGCTGGGGGAGGAAGGCTGTCTTGGGGACACCCGGGGGTGGCTGCAGGGCACTCGACGGGGTGTCCGCAAACGCAGGGCTCGGGAGCCGGAGGGGCCGAGGGCCACGGCGGCCAGCCTGGTCTGCGTGGTTTATGCAGCTGCCAGCTTGTTCCAAAGTCCCCAGGTGGCCCTGGGGACGTGGGCGAGGGCCCAGAGGGCCACGTCTGCCTGAGGGTGGCGGCTGCGGGGGGCTGGGGCCTGTCAGCTGTGGGCTCGGTCGCCCAGCGGCCCCTGCTGTGGCCAGTGCCTGGTGTTCAGAACCCCTGGCCCCCCCCCCCGGGACCACCGAGCAGGGCCGGACGGGGGAGTCCGTCTTGGGGGAAAAAGGCTTAGGGGTTAACGGGGTAAGGGGATGTTCATCCTGGAGGAGCAGGAAGCCCTGGGCTCTCGATTTCTGGGGGTCTTGCCAGCTGAAGAATGTTCTCGATCCCAGGTGGTTGGTCTTAGAAAGTTAGGAAGCGAGGGAGACAAAAGCTGCCTCCGAAATTCAGTGTTGAGGCAAACATCGAGTTCCCTTTATGGAAAGGCGTTCCACGTGTTTGACGCTGCGTTTGGGGAGTCGGCGCGGGAAAGGGGCCCGGGGACTTTCTGATCGAGTCGGGGCCTGACGGGGGTGCGGGGGGCTTGCGGCTGCGCTCCCCCTGCCCCGTTGCAGGAGGGGGCTTGGCTGACGCGCCGAGGCTTGTCCGTTGAGAAACTTTGCCTGGAATTAGCCTTTACCTGGTTTTTTTCTTGGGGGATCGTTGAATTTCCCGGGACTCTGGGTCACAGTGTTCACCCCACGTGGACGCGTTTTGGTGTCTATTTCTCGACTATTCCGTTCACCCCCTCTTCTCCTTTGCGGTCCCGGTCACACGAGTCAGGCGCCAGCGGCCTGTCCACTTTCGTGCCCCCGCCCTGTCCCGGCCGCGCCCTGTCGTCATGCGCAGGGCCCTTCCCCTGCTGCTCCCCGCGTGGCCCCCGCGTGGCCCCCAGGAGCGCTGTGCGCGGCATCTCCGCGGCCTCTAGCTCGGTCTCGTCTGCCTTCCGTGGCCTGACCCGGCACGCCGAGTCCTTCAGCTGCCCGGACACGCGGCGCTGCGCAGTTCTGCGTCTTCACCAGTTTGGGGCTGTTCTCATGCGTGAGTTTGGTCCCAGTCTGGGCTGTGTCCACTCGTGTCTGGTTAGATTCTAGATCCTGTGAGTCATCTCTTGTCCGCTGCTGAACAGTTCTGGGCTTGACACATACCCTCAGCTTTGAAAACGGAGCCTTTAGGCTGTTTTCCTCGAGGGCCGCGGGGGGACGATCGGCGTGTCGTCCAGGGCCAGTCGTTCCGTTAGGCACAAGCACCCCGAGTACTGTGCCCACGTGCCCCGAGTGGGCCATCTGTCCGGCCTGTGGACTCGGCCGACTTCTGGCCTCTGAGCGCTGGGTGCTGGGCCGTGGCCTCGGCCTCGGGCGTTCCTGGCCCGCGATCTGCTGCGTCCCGGAGGCGTCTGCCAGGCGCGTGGGTGGCTGGATCCTTCCGGAGACTCTGGGAGAATCGTTGCTGGTCTTCCTGCTCTGGACGCGTCTAGGGCACCCCATTCTCTGACCCCGCCTCTGTCTGCAGAGGCAGCACCTGGGTGTTCGGGCCCCTCCGACCTGCCACGCCGGGGCTCCGGCCGGCGGGCCCTGTCAGGTCTGTGACCAGCAGCACGGCGCCGGGCGGCTTGCAGAAGCTGGCCGGCTGTGGGTGGGTGGGCCTGCTCTGCCCCTCGGGGAGCAGAAGCTGGCGGGCCGTGGGCAGCGCCGGACGGCGTCCGTGTGGCGCGTCCATGTGGCACGTCCTGTGAGAAAAATAGGTCCCAGGTGGAGGAGAAACAGAAGCTTAGAACGTTCAGAAAATGTTAGAAAGTGAAAAATCGCAGGAAGATCCTCCAAACCAGTAAGAAATAACCAACAACAGTGAAGAAAATGGGCCGGATGGGAGGAAGGAGACGCTGAGAAGGTGCTGGGGCCCCACTAAACGCGAGAGGGGTCCCCACGCCCCAGGAGCCAGAGATGGCGCCGAAAAGGAGGGCCCCCCCCCCCGGGACAAACCGGGCCATATGTGGCCCACCAGGTGTGGGGGGGAGGGGCGCCGGCCCTTGGGCGGGGGTGCGGCTCGTCATACTTAGTCCCCGCTGAGACAGCAGCTGCTCCCCCAGCGAGAGAGGCCCGTCCCGTCCTGCGGGGCACCACTGAGCTGACCTGCAGGGGACGGGGCTGTGGCCAGCGGAAGTGGAGGAAGCCAACTTGCCCACGTGCGGCTCTGTACCGGCAGGGTTGAGTGTGGACACTGGGTCCTGGGAGGGCCTGACCAGGGCTGGGGTCAGGCACGTCCAGACAGCAGGCGCCGTTGGGGTGCATGCCTGCGTCTCCTGGGCTGTAAAATGGGGTGGATCCCGCGCGGAAGCAGGAGCAGCGCCCACGTCCCAGACAGCTCTGCCCCCGGGGCTTCCCCAGATAGACTGTCAGGAAGTCAAGGTGGAGAACAGGGCCACGGGGACAGCGCCTCGGGGCTGCGGCTGTGGCACACTCGGGCGAGGCCGCAGGAGCAGCGCCCACGTCCCAGACAGCTCTGCCCCCGGGGCTTCCCCAGATAGACTGTCAGGAAGTCAAGGTGGAGAACAGGGCCGCGGGGAC